TAGTTTTGGAACAGTATTGAGATTTCGTTTTACTAACAAAATTTCTCACTGCACCCTCGCGCGAGTGAACCGAGCCCTCCAGAAAGACGATTTGCTTAAAACAGCTGTAAATGAAAATCTTATCTATTCAGCACCCTTACTGGCAAGAAAAAGCCAAGGAAACGCTTGAAGATCAACTTTCGAAATAACAAAGAATATCTTAGGTGTAAGACAGCCGAGAGCGATGATAAGCTGATGGCGATGATTGAGCTCTGGACGGTTTCAAGATAATTCTATGGGAAATTTGAGTTCAGGGTCCCACTGGGAACGATGTTTTACTTCATATGTGTTTGTTTCAGGTGAAGAGAAGTCTGGTAGCCGCTGTCGATATAAAATCGGAAGAAACGAATCGAATCCTTAAGGTGTGTTCCGGTAGGATATGATAACGTTGAGTGGGTGTCTGAAACCCTTCAAGACGCCTTCTCCCAGTTCAGTTAGTCACAGTACTCGACGAGCTCAGCCCGATTGCGGGCCATAGAAACACAATAAACAATGAGGGATTGTTTGGCAAACACAGAGACGCAGCATCCAGTGGATTCCTGCCTCTCTGTGCTCTGACCATTTCACACATTTATATGAGTCTATAAATTTCTTTGAACATTTCCAACTAACCTTTTTACCGCAGTACTGACACGGTCCGAACGGCTTGATGCCGAGATGAATTCGCATGTGTTGCGAGAGGTAGGACGAGTTGGCGAAGCTCTTCACGCATTGCGTGCATTTGTACGGCTTCGCCTCACGCATCTGCATCTGCGACTGCAGCTGTCCCACGTCCGGCTTCGATTCGAACTGAAATCACACATCGACAATCCATACAGAAACAATCACAGCAACACTCCTTTGCACACATTCGGCAGCACTTTGTTCTCTCTTTAGCGCTTTTTTGACGCATAAATCTTAGCTCTTATGAAACACCAGTTAAGAACAGAATCAACCGTGCGTTGTTGCAAATCCCTGGATTTGACCACCCCCTAGCCCGATCACCAACTCCAGCTCCACCCGCTTTTTCCCTCTGAAATGGCCCTTGAAGGGGGCGAGGGTAGATAGAGCACAAATAGTATATTTCTATCTGTTTCCCACTCCTCTTCTAAAGTCGCCAAACTCGCCGAAAAGTGGACAAAAAACTTCTCTAACACAAGCCGGTCCCTTCAACTTTCAGAAATACGACCCCACCCTTTTCCAACCTCTTGACCTTCGACCAAATCCAAATACGACCCCCTTTTTCGATCTTTGACCTCCATCTTCCCCCAATACGACCCCTCCCTACCGTTGAAAACTGCATAACGCACGGTTGACAATAGCTGGAAAACAAAAAAATCTATATCAAACCCATATGAGTTCATCAAATTTTAAGTTTAGCAAAGAAAATTGATTTAAGCTCCAAGTGAAATTTAACGCCAGCGTACCTAATGGGGAGCTCTCGGGATTGCAACATTAGATGAAAGGAAATGTGCAGTCATGTTAAACAGAGCGTAAATGGTCGCGCGTTATTCACCGTAATCAGGCACTCTCTAGGGTAACACGACTAGCCAAACCGCGACAGTGCGGCTAAGAAAGGTGAAGGAACGGGAGAAATAGCGATTTTTCGTCTTTTTACTTCACTTTATGCTTGGGTCCCGCTGATTTCCATGAAAACAAGTGCAATGCGAGCAGCTGCGTGCATTTGCAGCTCGACGAACGCTGAGCACCACACGC